TGCTTCTGGTTCCCAACTGGTCAAGGATAACTTCACGGGTGATACTTTATCTTTGGTTACACTTGCAGGTACTTGGATGCCGAATAGATTTTCATAGGTGATGATCCATGGTGCAGTACCAGACACTCACAGTAGTGGGAATGAGAGGTTCTCAGCATGGGCTCAAATGAGATGCTGCTGGACCATATCTGCATGAAGTGGCTTGAAGAAAAGTTGAATTGGTTTCTATATGACTAATGGGGATGAGAAGACTCAAAGTGTCGTCTGAGATTTCTTGATTACAAAAATGTCTTATTATGAAGATTTCATTAATCCAGACTTCAGAATAGAAGCAAATTGAAGTCTAAGTCAAACTAGTTCAATTAAAAGGAGATTGTGTTTCAGAAAAATGACAAATCTAGCCACAGGAAGGTTATGGATATAGTGTAATGCAGAGTTCTGCCATAGCTACAACTCTAAACTGTCATGTAGGATCTGTAACATGTTAGGAGAATTACCAAAGCATTCAGCACTTCAATTTCCTGTTCTGCAAACCTCATGAAATCACATCAGACTCATAAATTTGTTGTGGCATTAAATGAATTACATGCAGAAGGTGCATAGACAAGTTCCCGGCTCAGTGTTAGTCACCAGCCATACTGTCTGCATTTCCACTGCCGTCATCAAGTTCGTCATTCAGGAGTGCAGAGTGCATTTCAGGACTCTGTTTTCCTCACTTCTTGTGAAGATGTCAGGCTTATTACTCAATAGCTTGGAACCCAAGGGTGAAAAAGTCAATTCTGGTGGGACACTCCTGGGGAGGGCACTAATTGACCCACATCAGGGCTGTGAGCATGTCTGCAGCAGTTACCACAATGAGTGGCTCTCCAAAGCCCAAATCTGAATTATGAGTCTATCTATGGCTGGGAGAGGTGGAACTGAGCATAGATAAGGTCAACACACCCTAACCACAAAGCACATGCTCACCACAGTCAAAGACAATTGTAATGAGGTGATGGTAGTGAGTTTACAGGCTGGCACAACAGAGGACATCGTCCAGTGACAGAGATGTAGATACATTTTATTTACTCTTGAATGTCAATGTGGAAGTCTATAACACTACTGGCTCCTTAGCAGAACTCGAGGAAGGGAATCTATCTTGTGTTTCTTTCAAGTCTTTGTAACAGACACACATTAATGCTCTGCTAACTGTACCATTGAAAACCTAATGGTCATGAGATATGAGGATTACTGAAATAATTCCAGGTGATTGAATATTATAGAATAGAAAATGTCTCAGCCTGTATCACACAATTGATGTTAACTTTTTGGAATGAACTCTTTTACATTTTTTTTAATCAATTTCAAGCTTTTTCTTTTTTTTAATGCAATCATAATATATGTTTTTTACTTTAAAACTATAAAACACTAAGGACTTCTTTCTTTTCTCTACTTTCACAATCACTGGCAATGATTTGGTGCAAATGGCTAAAGCAGTATTTTTCCTGTTAGTTGAAATTGTATTTTATATCAGACCCAGTGGTCTACCTCTGTTTGTAAGAACTAGACTGCAAGTTAAATTAGCATTGTGTGTATTGATATTCTAAAGCAGTTTTAATGGACATTAATTTCAGCTTTCACACACTGATATAAGTCTGAACATGATGTCTTTGATGTCCTAGTCACTCAATTTGTGGTCTGTTCTGTATGAAATGACATTTGTGATAACCTTCACAATGACAAAGAATTTCTACCAACTTTAAAATTATAGTCTAAGTATTTACTTCTTTTTCTTAACCTCTTCTTTTAAAGTACCTAGAACAAATATAAACATGCCAATTTTTCTTTTCTTAGGAATTTTTGCAGTATGTTCACTATTGCAAAGTTAGCTGTTTGCCAAAATGGATCACAACTGTTTGTCAGAATATGGAATGACAGAAAGATGATGTATTGAATAATAATTAGCTGTTGGTAATTACATTTTTGCTTCCCATTTATTCATACTTTTAAAATTCTTACAAAATTGAGAGTATATGGATAAGCATGATGAATCCATATTGTTTTCAGGAAGACACACCAAAAATACTTGGAAGCATGCTAGTTTATAGCCAATCAGAGGCAGGCAATTTATAAATACCTGTCGGTCTGATCGACAGGTAGGGCGGGGGCAGGACCGGTCCAGCCGGTCCTCCCTGGGGCTGAGCGGGATGATGTGTCCAGCGGCCCCTCCCACTTCTGTCTACCGGAGAGAAACACATTGGGCCAGGAGTCTTGTCAAAGCAGGAACTCGCTTTATTGTATCAGGAGTGAACTTATATAGGTCGGGGTGACGGGAGGATGGGGGGGATGGGGTGAGGATAGCGGGCCAATGAGATGATGCCATCTCAGCAGTTACTAGGCAGAGGCCGATTCTAGGTCAGGTATTGCTGAGTCACTCACAGGGAAGTCACGTGCCAGTTCAGGTCACCAAACTCCAGCTAGGCTCGGGAAGTTACACTGGGCCCCATGCCCGTCCTTAGGGGGCCCAACAAACACCTCTGTGTGTTGGGGTTTGGGGTGTGAGCAGACAATAAAAACTCCACCTAAAGTACCCAGGAAACTTATAAATCAAGTTTGAGATAAAATAAAATACATCCAGATGTATAATTCCTCAAAACAAACAAGCAAATAAAAACAACCCCCCCCCCCACTTTCATATACCATTCTAAAACAGTGAGTGGGAGCCAGTGAGAAATGGGAAAGACACCTGCCGCCACGCCTGAAGACTCAGGGTGGAAGAATGGGTGTTACCACAGCCAATAGTTAAAGTAAAAAACCAAAACAAACCCAACAAAATTACTAAGTACTGAGACACAGGGAACATGAGACTTAGCACAAAAGAGAAGAGATAATCCCAGGGTTATTGCCGAAGGGAACTCCCAGGACCACAGCTCTGCAAAGGTCTCATAGAAACGTGGGTCCCGACTGGAGTGGAGGACCACAGTCTCCAGAAACCAGCTCTCAGGAAACCTGAAAGCAGCGCCGCCAATGTGCTTCCCGAAGTCGCTCAACTTATTAGCATGAAGTTGTCCAAACAGTCCCTTGTTTTCCCTTTACTGTTTCTAAAATGGAGAGAGATTACTTCTCCCGTCCTTGCAGTGGCTGGTTTACCCCCCGCCCTCCATCAATGCATCTAAAGAATAATCAGCCTTATCAGTTTCAAGGAACCAGATTTTCATTTATCTTGTCTGCTGCTTTTCAGCTTTCTGCTTTGTTGGTTTCGCTTGGGCTTTTGTTAATTGCATTTCTTCTGGTATTTTTCTGCCTTTCCTCACTCCCCTGTTTCTACTTTATGGAGATGAATCTGATTTGAGCCCTTTCTCTGAACATGCGCACTTAGTGCTGTTCATTCCAGTATCCTCTCATGGTCGCAGCATCCCCCACACTTGAAAATGTTCCCTTTCCATTGCCATTCAGCTCCATGTTGACTCCTCTGATCTCGTTATCCAAAATCTAAGCCTCTGGCCATTTTCTAGGTATTTTCCTGCTGTGGATTCCTACTTTCATCCTGTTGTGACTAGAAAACATGCTCTTTTAAGCTAATTGAGACTTATTTTGAAGCCAGAAGAGGGTCCATTTTGAAAAGTATTCCACGAATACACAGCAAATGGATTCATTCTGATGTTGGGAGAGCTTTTCAGAGGTGTGAGTTCAGTCAGGTTGACTGACAGAATTATTAAACCTTTCTGTATCATTACTGATTCATTGCTTGCTTGTTTTGAAACTGTTATTAAGTACCTACATTTAAGATCCCATTATTGACATGATGGTCCCTGCAGCATTCTGAAAGAAAACTCACTTTCTTTGGTCATGTTCTTTGTTTTGAAAAATAGCTTAATAAGAGCACGATAATTCCAATATTCTTCTTTCTTTCTTTTATAGCAGCCTGGATGCCCAAGACATGTTCATATTTATTATTAATTATACACACATTTCACTTAATGATATATTATATAAACCATGAATACATGGAAAACTAGGAATTTACAGGAGAAGATAAAAGTATAGGAGAATGGAGGTTCCCCTATATATTTTTCTTCTTCCAGTAGACCACTGTGTACAAATTCCAGTCTAGGACGACAAGCCTTGGCAACAACATCTAGTTGCCTCTTCCAGGGTGGACAGACAAGAAGAGTGGGGTTATTAAAACGAAGAATTGTTGAAGATTTCCTTTGTTTTCCTCTGTCTTCTTCTGGACCAAACGTATGTAACATTTGCATATCATTCAACTCCTTTTAGTTCAACTTAAGCAAGCACACGAAGTCATTGATAGGACCTGTAATGGGACAAAACTCACACGTGTCCTCAGCCTTGTAGGAGATAAAACTGGTAACACTCCATGATGGAAGTGAGTCTTCAGCGATGCGTAACAATGGCAGCAACTGACAGAGAGAGCCAAGTCGGGAGAAACAAGTGTGAAGGAGCTGGGAAGTGCCTATTTTCTGGTGGTAAGAGAACACAGGATGGAAGGAAAGGACTCCTGGGACAGTGGCTAGAGGCTGTGCCATAGAGAACTGATCTTCTGACACCAGAGCAGGAGTAAGGAGCTTTCGCTGAGAGTCCCAGAAGGACAGTGCTGAGGAATCTATGCCACTAAAAACCAGACATTAGTTTGCTCAGAGAGACAGCCGACAGTGGTCACAGTTATTCATAAATCAGGGCAGACAAATACTTTAAACGCTTAAAGAATAGTGCTTACAGACTCTGAGAGACCTATGAGGAACGAGGCTGTCAGGTGAGGCCATTGTGACTCCAGACTCAGACCAGAGAACTAATGCCAGCAGAAGTGGCAGGAGAAACAGAGAAATGTGGAAAAATAAATATCAAGGCATGGAAAGCATGGGAATGAATGAGCAAAGAGAGTACTCAAACCTTATGACTTCCTGCCGTGGGAGGCACTCTTCACTAGAGAACAGGTTACTACTGGTACTGGTACTGGTACCTTGAGAGTGGAGCCACCCTTTGTCCAGGGCCACCATGTCTTATGAGCTGGCAACACAAAGGCAGGAGAACTTCTTGAGGGCCCTTCTCGACTTGGGGCTGCCTAGCACCAGAATGGTGGAATGCAGGGAGATGCCTGTGTAAGTTATCACTTCCCAGGCCCAGTGCCAGGAATCATAGATAGTTACGGCTTTTGTAGTGGTTATCAGCAGGAGCAGGACATATGATGTATAGAAGATGAGGAAGAAGGTAAGAGACTTCAGAGCCGTGGTGTGAGCCTGGGTGCTGTGATCATGAGGCCTGGGTCTGTGGTGCCTCATCTGTTCCAAATGCCAGTACAGTGAGAGCATAAGCAAGATGATGGACAGCAGAAACAGGAAGAATGGTGTGACCCACATTAGCAGTGCATGATAACGATAAAAATACCCATAGAACACCTTCCCTCTGTAAGTAAGTGTGCAGTTTCCACAGGCCATCATCTGGAAGGCAATTATAGTCCCAGTGAGCGAGGAGATGGCTGACAGACCACCAAAGATCAAGGATGCCAGCAATAACTTGGGCACTGACCGAGAAATTCTCCATTTCATCCAGGAGAAGATGGGGTGGGAGAAGGAAGAGATCTTTACGCAGTAGAAGACGGCCAGCCAGCTGGTGAACCAGAAAGTGACAGTGTTGACGAAGTCCCAGACGACCCCCAAATAGTTATTTTTGTACCAAAACAGAAAGAAGTTCAGGAAGTTGTTTAGGATGGCTAGTCCATGCAGACAGAACCTGGAGGCAGCTAGGCAGGCCACAATCATGTCACCTGCAGGGAGTGCCTGGCTCTGTAACCATTCCCTACCCAGAACAGTGACCATGAAGCCATTTTGCAGCATTGCGGCTAGAGACTGCACACAAAAGATGACCACGAAGATGAGCGTAGGTGAGAAAGACATCTTCTCTGCGGAGCATTTGCTTAGACTGGCTCCTACTGCCAAGCCCTGGGACACAGCCACAGACAAAACAGCATCTTCAGGCAAATGACCTGGCGGACACCTCTTCCTGGATTCATGCAAAAGCCCAGGCACCAGTGAGGCCCACGTTTACCAGGAGTTGAAATGAGGAAGTCTGCTATCTTTTCTGGTGTGGAAATCACCCTTAGTTCAATGACACCTGTGTCTATTTGCAGAGACTGTATTTGCCTGCTTTTTATCAGGCAGGTGCAGGGAAATAAGAACAGGATCCAAGGATGATCCAATACACCAACACTCTGCACATGGCTACTGTTTTTTGTTTTCAGTGTTATAATGAGAGTATATATGTATTGCGTATATTGGTGGGTTTCACTGTAGCGTTTCTACGCTTGCATATATGTTGCTTTGACTATATCAGCCTCCCTAATTAACTCCAGGTCACCTTCCCCTTCTCTACCACTTTCAACTTAGTCTGTTTTTACTTTTATTTTAGCTTACATGTTTGAGAGAAAACATACTTGGCTTTCTGTGTCTTGGTTATTTTACTTTACATGACCTCTAATTTATCCCATTTCACCACAAATGGCATCACTTCATTTTGCTATAATGGTTCACTGTGTGTGTGTGTGTGTGTGTGTGTGTGTGTGTGTGTGTGTGTGTATGTGTGTGTGTGTGTTTAATTCTAATTCTACCTACCTACCTACATACTTACCTACCTCTCTCTGTCTATATCTATCTATCTGTCTATCTGTCTGTCTGTCTATTTCTATCTGTCATCCCTGTCTCTATGCCTATCTCCATCTCTATATATCTACATAATATTTTTCATATCTGTTTATTTATCGATGAACACTGAGGCAGATTCCAAAGCTTAGCTCTTACAAATCATGCTGGAATAAATGGCTATCTAAGGTTCTCTTACCTATGCTGACTCCTTCTTTTGGTTATAATGCGGGAGTGGGATAGCTTGGTCATGTGTTAGTCCTAAGTTTAGGTTTTAGAAGAGCTACTGCACTGGTTTTCACAGTGGCTGGACTAATTTGCGTCCTTACCAGCAGTGCACAAGGCTGCCTTTTAGTCCATCTCCGAGCTGGCCTTCCATAGTTGCTTGCTTCATTTTGGTAGCCATTGTAAAGGGGGAGATGGAGTCTCAGGGAAGTTTTATTGACATCTGATTCTCATTACTGGATAATGAACTACATTTTCATTTTATTCAATGTCTACTTTGAGCCACATAGTGCACAGCTTTCCTTACTGTAGTCTTCCTTCAAGTGACACTGAGTTAACAGGGAGTAAACATGAAATTATACATTTTTCTCCTTTTCTAATTTTTATGGACTGACATAATTTATTTCTATATATGTTGAAAATCCCATAATTCTTAATTACATTTTCCCCTGGGCAAGCTCAGCAAGTCTCTTCATAAGGTAGGTACAACTGATCCAGGAGGGTACGGGTTGGCAAAGTCTGTAGACTCTTTCTGTTGTGATGGCTTTTCCGCACTAATCTTCTCATTTTCCACTGCCTTCGCAATGCTCTCTGGGGGGAAATACTCAGAGTGGCTGTTAGTTTTGCTGTAAGCAGTCAGGGATATTTTAGTGATTTAAATAATATTGCCAGGATAGTCACACTTGTCCCAGGCCTAGTTTCTTGGTTTAGAATCAAGTTTCCTTTTGGTATTACCTTTTGTACACAAGTCTTTTATATAACGAAAGTGAAGGGAGAAGAGTAGCTAAGTCATCTAAAGCATGTCAGTTAATGTGAAAGGAATATTACCGACTATCAAACTACAAAAATACTAACTGGCTATGATGGTGCTTGAAGCCTCCTAAAAACAATAATAAAGTACATTGACCGGACCAAAAACAAATCCAAAGGTGCATGGACTTTAAACATAAAAAAAATAGTTCTGAAAAGCTATGGGGAAGAAATGGCCTTTTAAACAAAACATATTAGTCCAGATGGCATCTATGTTGGGAACAAAAATGATTTGATGCTCAAAAGTCAATTATAATGTTATATTTGTAGGTGAAAGGCACAGTAGTCTTCTGAGGAGCGAAATGGGGGATGTATTTAGAATTTCAAAACAGGGAAATATTTCTTTTTTATATTATTTATTTATTTATTTTCATGTACATCTATGTTTTGCCTGCATGTATGTCTGTGTGAAGGTGTTGGATGCCTGGAACCAGAGTTACAGGCAGTTATAAGCTGCCATGTGGGTATTGGGAATAGAACCCGGGTCCTCTAGAAGAGCAGTAAGCACTCTTAACCACTGAGTCATTTATCCAGCCTAAGGAAAATATTTCTTAAGACTGAAAGCAAATTAAAAAAAAAAAAGAAAGAAGCACCAACCATAGGGGAAAAAACGTGATGCTGAAATACTTTACTCGGAGATGCTACGACAAAAGCAAAATGCAAAACACACAGTGGACAAAACCCACAGATATGGCTAGTAAGGACACAGGAGGAATTTGTGCAGAACCCTAGTGAGAATGAAACAGAGACTCCAAAAGGAAACGGCAAAAGTCATAAACAATAAATCCAGGAAGGGAAGGGGAAGTTTAAAAAGCTCATTAAATATGTACCAAGTGCCTAATCCTATTGATGGCTGAATAAGAATGAATTAGTACCACAGTGGACACCACATCACAAACCTAGAACAGCAAAGTTAATTCTGTGTGTGTGTGTGTGTGTGTGTGTGTGTGTGTGTGTGTGTGTAAGAGAGAGAGAGGAAGGAAGTGAGAGGGGGGGGGCATGATTAATTTCAGATACTGGGAAAGTTGTGTAGTACTGGAAAGGTGTACCTTTTTGGTGGCAAAGAAAATCTGAACAGCTGTATTTTAAAACAGTTGAGCATTATCAACTAAACTGCAGATACACACCAACAGGTAAAACTAAATTTTATTTTTTAAGATAAACAACTGAATGTAAAACAAAACACGAAAGTAAGTTACAATAACAGACAGACTGTGAGCTCAGGAGGGATTTGGGCTGAGGAGATTGTTTTTGTGTTGCTGAGTCATGGTCACATAGACTTTCAGTGCATCAGTGTCTCGTTTTCCCTGTATGTGTAGGCATTTTACAAATAATTGTATAAAAATAGAAGTATCCAATAGGAAACAAAGGTGGTAATTAACAAATATAAGACATGTTTGCATAAGAAAAAATACATAACTAAACACAGCGAGGTTCTAGTTTGAAAACATTTTCATCATAATACAGTCACAATAGTTTGGTAAAAAGTGTAATGCATTGATTTTGAGAACATGGGAGTCATCAGTTGAAGAAGGGCTGCAAGAGAATTGCATTTTCTTCTCCCAGCAAGAAAATGAATGCAGATGTCTAATGCTGAAAAACTAGAAATGGTAGTACAGCCCTGAGTTGTAAACTTAGAGGTCAATAAAACATGGCTAGGGAATAGGAGGTTGAGAAACAAGACTTGGAAAAGGAAAGTACAGGGGTTCCTCCCACCTTAGTAGGGCTGATTTAGATTACAGTTCAAATAAATGTATTAAGAGTATATATGCTTTATTTGATAACACTAAAAAATAAAAATAATAGGGAGTAGAGAGATGGTTCAGTGGTTAAGAGTACTGGCTGTCCTTGTAGAGGATCTAGACTCTACTCCCCATACCCACACAGTGGCTCATAGCATCTGTAACATAATCCTGTGCTCTCTCCTTGCCTCTGAGGGCAACAGGCATGGTGCACAGATATACATGGAGGTAAATGATTTATATACACAAAATTTTAAAAAATATTTTAAAATATAGTGAAGATAGACAGTGGAGGGTCAGTAGTTTATGAGCCTGAAGAGAGCCCAGCACAGTCTCTTCAGTCACCATGAAAGATGTAGCTGTAACAGGGCAATGTTTGTACCCTTCTCTGTTTATGACAGTGTAAGAGGTAGGGCCTTTGGAATGTGATTAGATCATGAGGCTGGAGCCCTTGTGAGTAAGATGAATAGTTCATAAAAAAGGTCGTTTGCCTTTCCATCCTTCCAGGTTGCAGCTACTAGGTACCACATATGGGAAGATGGCTCTTACCAGACACCCAAAACGCCAGCACCTCTGTCTCGGATTTCTCAGCCCTCAGAACAGTACAGACTTACACTGTTTACCAATTACCTCACAGCTCAAATAGACTAAGATGATTCTGTCCATGCAAATGGATGATTATTCATTTGGCAGAGTAAAAACAAGCAACCATTTTTCAGTCTATGGGTATGTATATTTACTTTTTGAAATATAAAACTGTTTCTTATGGAAAGTGCTAGAATAAATAAATCAGTGTTATGGCATGTCATGTTAGGTATGTGTGTGTACACACATGCTTAAAAACACATGTTAACTCGCCTCCTTCTTTTCAAGAGGGGAGAGAGACTGCCTCACTCTTAGGAATCTGGGTTAATATAATCCAAATTCCAGTTCTGGGTGTGCGGCTGCTGGAAGCTCCCCCAAGAAGGAGTGCAACACTTCCTCTTAATCCCTCACAAGTAAGCAAAACTTCTTGTCTTCAGCATCTTCCTCTGAGAAGGCACCCGGCCTACACTCTGAAGCTCTGAAGCTTTCCAAAGGGAGAGTCATAATACACCAATCCCCCCTTCATTTGATATACTGCCACCTTACTGGCTGCATTTCTTGCCACAATCCCAGCTGTGGGTCCTCACAGTCTAGAAGGCACTTTAGAAGCATAGGACATCTCTCCAGCCAGCCACCTTTCTAGAACCTGAAGTTGGGTGAACCAGGGGAGGGGCTGGGGCCGGGGCAGGCCCTCCTCAATGATTTTGGAGTTTTATTACATACCATGCATTCCATCCAAATGTACTTATATATGTTCTTTATTTACACAACCACATAAGGCATCACAGCTTTCCTCGCTGGGTTTGACTCTTGATACTGATGCTATCAATGTGATTAGTGTTCACTAATCTTACTGTCATATTTTTCAGTATTTAATACACTGTTCAATAACTATGCATCTTTTAAAATACACTTACC